ACGTTCAAATGTGTATATATACGCCTGTGTATATGTGCACATGAAAACTATTTATTTGCCAGGTAAATATGTATATATACTTGTGGGTGCGTTTTTGAATATATTTATTTTCACATAAATAGGTATATATATAGATTAGTGTGTTGTTTATGTATGCCTGTATATATATATATATATATATATATATATATATATATATATATATATATATAAAATTTATAACATAAACATGTTATAAAATCACTACAAAAATAGCCATTTTGTTTCAACACCTCCGGTGTCTTATCAAGTGATGATGTTGAATGCAAAACAAATGGTTTTAAAAGTTTCAAATTAGTTAACGATCTTTCACAAGGGGAAAACGTTGTTCCAAAAGCTAGAATGACCAATCAAAATACAAATATAGGAAAATTCAAAAAGCCTGACAACGAAGTCATGTTATAATAGCTATTCAGATCGTTAAAATACGGGTAAAATTTAAAAAAAGAATTTATTCTAACCAATAATTATTAAATTATATGATAGAATTTGATATTAAAATTAAAAACTGCCAATCCTAAAATCCAAATTTAATCACTATTAAGTTTAAAATTATAAAATTACCGAGGAGAAAATATATATTATTTGTCTATTTTTTTTTTTTTGTCGATATAACAGCGATTTTTACGTGATAAATGTAAGTGAATATTCCTTTTGTTTACTCTGAATTAGATGCACGTTTTTCAGGCATCCACTGATGATCGAATCTTGAATCACTGATTGCGAGTCTAATGCACTAAACATTCATCGATGACAGACAATTATGTCTACCTGTAATTATTAAAGAGAGTGTGATTTGGTTTAATTTGGCTATGGACTCATAATATATTGATTAAAGATTTCCTTATAATTAACTGTTCTGTGTTTATATCTTTATAAATATATTCGTATGTATGTAGACAAGTGGAGTGAAGTAACAATGTAGATTCATTTTTCAGCATATGCATTCCCGTAGGATCATGCCTGCCTTTAAAAGTTTTTTTTTTTTTTTTTAAATGCTTCTATCCAAGGTAGCATTCTACTGTTAATGGAAATACAGGTAGCGCAAAGATTATCAGCGCAGATAAAGAATATGTGCGCTGGCTTTATGTTTCTTTAACTACGCGCCAACTTTTGGCAAAAAAAATGAATCCATCTTCCTCCAGGTTTGGGTTACATAGCAAGTTAGATTTTTTTCTCTTCGTTTTGGGTGCAACCTAGCATAGATGAATGGAGAGTCTGGATTCAAACAATGCCATTTCGGTAGGTGTCTAGGTGTACAGAGACAATAAAGCATTTAGAGAGCTACTGGAAGATTACGTAGAATCCTGAGCACGTTTTCTTTTAAGAGTTCTTCCGAAACATGATGCTGATTCTACACAAGTCTTCACAACTAGAGTCAAATCAGTGGCTATTTTCGCGTTTCATTACCAAAATGAACTGTTTGGTGGTCATACGCTAAAATCGACGGGAGATCACACGCACATACACACACTTTACATATATATATATATAAGTTATTAAGAACTTGGTAATCCGTATGGGTAATCCCAAGGAGGATGAAATCCTGAGAGCTCAATGTAAATCCAGAGCTAATATTTAAAAGAAAAACAGACCACTTTTAGGTACGATTATAATAATTTATTTCACTAGAGTCCTTTTAAAGAACGCCGGATCATCAGATATATATAAATTAATTAATCAAATAGTTAAAAAAAAATAGACAATCTTAAGTTTCCACTACTATAATTTATTTCCCAGAAAATATATTTTTCCTGCGTCATCAGGTCAAATCTCTAGTTACACACACAGACACACACACACACACACACACACACACACATATATATATATATATATATATATATATATATATATATATATATATATATATATATATATCATAAACATTGCGTTTATGTACTTATAAAATTTTGGCTTATTTTGGTTAATTGTATCTCTTCGTTTGGGAGGTATTCTGCGAGAAGACAAACTCAGAATTCGGACCTGAAGAAAACACAACTTGGAATATCGTGGACAACTTTATGTTATCAGTTCGTCTGAAGTGTGGCTGGTTCTACACAAGGATTCACCTCTATAATAATATAATCCACTATGGACAGTATAGTGGTTCAGTTGAAAGGATTATATAAGATATATATATATATACTTATATAAGAAGAAGTATTGAAAAGCACCCGTCGTGTCTAAAAAGCAATGAGACAGAGATATGAAACATGCCTGTAGGAAGTGATATCTTGATAATATCAGCATATGAGACGATTCTACAGTGCGCTGCCGTTGGGAAGTACCAAAGCACCATAGCGCAGATTAATCTACGTCTTTCGAAGGGAGACCGGTGGGATAAAACCGTTTCGAAGACGTCGATGTCTTCGTTAGCGAAACACACAAATCTCGACTTTACTGATTGTTGAAATGATGCACTCTCTCCCTAAACTGTTGGTTGATTTTGTTTAGCGGCGTATCAATCTCTATAAGATATTGAATGCCAAAAGCTAAATATTTTAAACGCAATTCCATGTCTTCAACTACAGTTAAGATATATTGTTGGTAACTCTGCTATAAAATGTATTGTTGATCATTTTGCTTTAAAAATGTATTGCTAGACATTTTACTATATATATATATGTATTGATGGTTTCACTATTTGCCGATAGCTGGGAGCCGAACATGTGCTACCACCGCGGATCAGGGTGGACCTTGGAATATCAGCAATTAAGAGGTTGTTCCACGCTCCTCAAAACCTGCAATCTCACGATCAGAGGTCTTTTTTTTAAGCGTTTCACCGCAAGCAAGGCGGGAAGCCACTAGGACGCAAGGGGATACAGAAAATTTAGAGCAAGATCAGATAGGAGTGATAGAAGAAAGGATGAGAAGAAGGGTAGTGGATAGACCAAGACAACTGGAGATTTCGATTGACATTACACTTGAATAGCTGGAGATTATAGCTCCCAGGGAAACTGAAATAGGGAAGGGCGTTCCACAGGCGAGAGGTTCGAGACATGAAGCTATTGTCTTGTTACAGGATGTAGTTTATTGTCATACCTATAGCTACCCTAAACACTAACTACTGTTTGCTCATCATAATTGTAATATAAATTGGAGTTTGCCTATGTAGCTGCTGAAGAAACACAAATGCGCCTAAGCAAGCGTCTGTAGTAGGGATTAAATACCCCCCCCCACACACACCAGCAGACGGACATACTCACATACATACATCTATTGTATTACATATCTACAGTGGTTTACCTACTTCACGCCGCTGGCGAGTATTGTATTTTGTTGAGATTACCATTTCATTTCCAAATTCCGTTTTGGTTATTCCTCATTCAGTAACACTTTCTAGGTTACAACAATTATTAATTGTCCGATCATCAAAATATGACATGCGTGCATGCTCAAAGGGATGGGTACAATTTCAAGACAAAATGAAAATGTTTTACACTAAGATCACATCACACCATTATTAGTTAGTCAAAATTCCCTGAAGGAGCCTATCCCTATCTTGGTTGGTTCTTAATTATGAGTTTTTATTCTCCTACGCTGGTTGCAGCTGAAGGCTAACCCAGTCTGCCCTACATGTTGAAACTTGACTAATGCATGGAATAATAATACAACACAAAATGTACTTAGAACAAAATGTATTGAAACAAGAAAGTGTACACAATATTTACATATAGTCTTTTGTATATTCTTGGGAAGACCGTTCCTGGAGAATATTTTGACTTAGTCGCAGTCGGGCAGAGTCTCTGGGTTGAATCTCTTGATTCCTCCCCCCGTCTTCCCGGTACCAACCATATTTATATGGTCGGTACTCCACTATGCAAATTAGGTGGATCCTACCACAACACTACTGTTACCTTTCGAAGCGCATTAGTAAAAAAAGCGAACGCGATGGTCTAGGTTGGAAATTGAACTCGGTTCTTCAGTTCCACTTTTCGGGTCGACAACTGCTAAACAAAGCGCATATCCTATAGATACTAACAAGAGCAACATTAAAGAAACATCAGTCGCACAAAGACATAAAGCGATGCATTCAGTGTACGCTTCCAAGGAATCAGATATGTGTTAGAAAAAAGAAAAATACTAGGAATACTGCACATACTAAGCGGCTTGCCTAAGTCTTGCATAAGTCTGGCTGTGATAGTAAACTCTGTTGGACTTTCAAATCTTCTAATCTTTGTGCTTTAAAAAACAATTTTCAAAAGCATTGATTGTCCGAACATTTCAACAACCGCAACTACCTCAGCCACCAAATACGTTAAAATCATGTTACACCCAGATGGAAGCAATTTATAAATCAGTATCTAGGTACATAAAAATTTATTAAAAAACCAAAAAAAAAAAACAAAACAATGATGATTAATAGATATTAGGTATGACTATTATGCACCCCGAGGTGATGTAATTGTTAGCAAGCTTGTCTCGCGAGAAAAATTACGATCGTAGTAGTGATCGTATCTGGGTATCCCCAACTTTCGGCCCTGTGCCACATCTAAGCTACGCTTAGAAAATCACGATGTGGGAACCTCGTTATGGTGTAATTGTTAGCAAGCTTGTCTCGCTAGTAAAATTACGAATGAGTAGTGAGTTCAATCCACACTGGGTGCCACATCTAAGCTACGCTTGGAAAATCACTATTAGGTCTGACCATGAATTGTACTTTTCTTTAGGTTTTCCGTAGACGAAATAAACACAGTTTACAAAAGGGAGTGTCTACTCAAATCCACTAAAAATCACATTTGAAGCCATAAATGTTTACCTATATTGACGCGTGGCCAAGTGGTTAGACCATGGGCATTCTGACCATGAAACCAGGGTTCGAATCTCACCATGCTTGATTTTTCAGGAAGGATCTTATCGGACCCTGGAAAGTGTCTGAAAACCGTACCCAAGCCTTGTGAGTGAAATTGGTTAGACAATTTTGACTGTCAATAGTTGTGCTCACAGGATTGTTGATCATGCTGTATAACATACACACACACTCTCCCTCTCTCTCTCCCTCCGCCCTCTCTCTCTCCCTCCGCCCTCTCTCGCTCTCTCTCTCGCTCTCTCTCTCTCTCTCAGAGCAGACCTTATTTACAGACTGTATAACTGTAACTAAGTTCTGCTCAGCATAGTATAAACCACAGATTTGCTCTGTTGGTTTTGAGCAGAAACAAATGTGCCAGAGCGAGAGTCCGCAATAGGGATTGGCTCTAGTCGCCTTAGTAGACTGGTATCCTTGAATACGAGTAGCCAGCTATTATTATTATCATTATATGTTCATCTGCATACCGGAAAAAAGTGAAAAAATAGAAAGAAAAGAAATGTAAGAATAGAATGAAAAGTAAAGAGAACACTATAATTGTGTAACCTTTAAAGATGAAACTTCATGCTTCATACGGCTTCAGATTAAATATTAAATACAAATTACTTGAAACAAAACGAATAATTTCGTTATTATTTACTTTTTTTTCGTATTTTTCCAATGAAACATACCCCAGTTCTCATGTTACTACTTTCTATGTCCATTCCACGAAGTCGTCCCTTGATTACAGATTCTCGATTAGTTTTAAACCAGGAGAGTTTCCGGACCAATCTCTGCTTTTCTAACTGCTAAGGCTTGCCAATATGTCCGTACAGCGTTACAATTATCATACGCTTCCTTCGCAGACAATAACCATAGGACAACTAATTGACAGTCGAGGCAATAATGTTTTGGGCGTGATAAAAATCTGATGCAATCACGGATGACATAATATTTTTCAAGTCCAAGCAAATTTCATCACACACCCCGAAAACAGATTCCTAAATACTGCACATCACTGCAAATAACCTAATCTGAGGAAATATAGAAATCGATCACATCCAGTCACTCCAGTAGGTCTAAAACGGACCGCATGGTGAAATAAAGGAAACTAAGGCCTGTTGTTTAAATTAATTTGCACAAAGGTGTATATTCACAAATGAAAACGAGAAAGTGGAGACGTTCATCTTTTAAAACGATTTTATCCTTTTACTTAATTTTTCCTTTAAAATACTTGATGACCAGTGGATCACCGATGCGGGAGATACTGCGCAATTTCCCTCTTTCAGGCTGTCTTGAAGTCTAAGGCTTAAGACCACATCACGTTGAAACATCGGTTCCTATACGATCACCGAAGTTAAGCAATATCGATACTCGTCAGTACATGCATCGGTGACCGCTTCGGAATACTAGGTGTTGTAACCTTCGATGCGTAATATGTAATGGCTCGGAATTGTTAACCAGAGAGTGGTTTTCCAATTTCAGTTGGTTTATTACATTCATTTACACGCATATATCATTGAGAAAAATATGAATCCACCCTGTTATGGGTTAATTAGTAAGACTTATATCACTGAAATCATTATTATTTCTAAAATATTCTTAGAATCTAAAAATAGCTTGAGGCTTTAAATAACCTCCAAATGGTTGATGAGCCGCGAAAGTGAATGAATCAATCAAATATTGAAACCTAGCTATACGAAAATGATTTTACAAGCAAGCAACAAACCACACAAAAGCTGCTTGAATATTAGTCATTTGTGTCATAGAAAACGCTATGATATCAGCATTTTTTTCTCTTCAAGTTTTAACGATCACGACAAACAGTTAATCTGAAATATAATGTTGAACTGTTTAGAAAATTAATGATATCTTAGTTGTATTTTTAAACTTTATCTCCAGTTTTTCATTATTTTTCGACTGATTTTTTTAAAAATTTTACTTCTTAGCGTCGGAATTGGTTTTAGCGTTTATTTTTAATTAAAAATTTGTTTTGGTCAAAAAAAATTATGGTAAACATCTAAACGATTAAAATTGTTTTAAAACTACAGGTTAGAAATATTAGCATTTCGAATACAATCTATTTTGTCATCATGATTAAATGCGTTTTATATTAAAAAGATAGATCCAGGGAGGTCTATTATTAGAATATAGAGCAATATGATATACATCTAAGAAAAGATTAACATATCTCGAAAATACCTTTTTCGAGATGTGCTAATGTTTTGCTTATATATATATATATATATATATATATATATATATATATATATATATATATATATATATATATATATATATTATATGAATATATATATATATATATATATATATAATTATTTATTTAAAAATATGATTCCAACACGCTACACTTTTTTGTATCGAGCCCTGTTTTTAAAAAAAATAATAAGAAAAAATACTAAAGAACTTTGGATATATATATATATATATATATATATATATATATATATATATATATATATATATATATATATATATATATATATATATTATGATAATATGTATTATTTTAATGCCTATACTGGGAGGTGTGGAAAAAACAGATAATACAATTTTTAAAACAAAAAAATATATTTGAATAAATCGATATCAGGGATAACAAAAAAGTCAGTAAAAACAGAAAAGACTAAAGACATTCGAGTCGATCGAAAATAATCAATTTAGCACCGCAATGCCTAGTCGAAAGAAAAAAAAAAACACCGACAGAGTAAATTATCTAAAAACGTAATGCCGTTGTTTTATAACATATATATATATATATTGATATTTAATTAATTCATCGAGTCTGATAGAAACCTCTACAGAATGCAGGAAGCACTGGACGGCCGTTTCGTCCTATATTTGGGACTCATCAGCAGTGCGCATCCACTACCGAGAATTCGAACCCTGACAGGATTGTCAAGCGAACACCATACCAACTGTTCCAAATGGGCCTCGGTGACGAAGAGATTCCAAATCAGACTCAACTAAGCGCCGCTCGCTCAAATATTCCGTGGCGGAACTCAACTCAATATATATTTAAAACTCATTCACTGTATTGTTTACATATCTAGTTTCTGGATGCCTGTATTAATTCTTTGAAAAAGGCCAATGTTAGTAGAAAGTACTCTGAAAATATTGAATAAATTCAGGAACATACTTACCAAGTTGTCACTTGATACCAAATGTTTTAAAGAACATCAGTAGAAATTCCCCAAAACGATTAGGCATCATTCTATATCTTTTCTATTTGATAGAAGATGTTTAAACGAAAGATCACTGCCAAAATAAGTTTAAACGACACACACATTAATATTCCACACGAGGAAATAATTTGCTGCAACATAGTTCTAATAACACTAAAGATCATGAGATAAAATTTAAATTATACATACATATAAAACATGTATAAAAAAGTGGACATTCAGATCAAGGCCAACCGGCGACAGAGGTCTGTTTCATGCTTGAAGGCAATCTCCAAGCTATAAATATTGCTTTCAAGCATGTATCAGACTTTCGTCTCTTGGTGTTGCCCTATGTGTCCACTTTTATATTTACATACGGTCTAGCTCTTCTGATATTGAGCACTTATACCTACGAATATAGCATGCCTTAACCTATATATATATATATTGAAAATTTTTGCAGTAGACGTTAATTAAAACCAGGTTTATGTTGAAAATATATATTTACATGAGAAATCTATCATAGTGTATTATACAGGAAACAAACTTCTTCAAAGATTTTTCAATCGAAAATAGTAATTACAATTTTTCAACCAAATGCTATAGAGACTTAAGTTTTATACAATTTCTACTTTGATTCTTAGCAGCGAAAATTATATAATTAAAATATCGCATATTATTTTTCGTAAAATTTAAACTTTGTGCATATTATAGCAATTTGTATGAGTAAAATATAAATTCAAAAGAAACAGACGTTTTAGAGAACTAGCAATGTCTTCAACTGTGTCTCCATCACATCTCAGTCGACTCACTGTTCATTTGTTAATATTTGTAGCTTCAAATAATTTTCAGACTAAACTGTTGCGTGATATATGTTCTTCTGTATAACAGTGAGTGCTGGACAATTTTCTCAAAGTTGAAGAGACTTGAAACAACAGAAATGCGGTTCTGCACAAGGATGTTAAGTATAATACGATCAGGACATGTGAGCAACTACGAAGTCTGAGAGAAAAGGGAAACAATAAGAAAACCTACATAACAACAGGAAGAGACAGTTGAGGTTTCTATGGAACATAATGAGGAAAGAGGGCCGGGAAATTCTGCTACTCACAGGATTGATTGAAGGCAAGAGAAACAGTGGGAAACAGCGCATAACTTACTTAGTGAGAATGAGTAAATAGATGGTGGAACGGAGAAATAACAGAAAGAAAAATATTTATTAAGGGCTACAAGGGAGAGGAATTTGTGGAGAGCCATGATCACCTACATCCTGAGGAGATACGGCATAGGAAGAAGAAGTTAATGTCTTTCAATCAATTTCCATATCAGATACAAGTTTAGTTTCTTGATAATTCATTATTATCGCTTACATATTTCTATTATGTATCATATATCTTCAAGTTGTCGGAGATTATGGATTCCCAAAACTGCCTTTCTTTTTTTTTCACTATATAACTTTTGACGCGTTACCATTCATTTGTGTTATTGCTCTGACATCCATTCACTCAAACCTCTTACGTAGGCTACTTGCTGTTTACTTTGTTTCTAAGATTAAATATTCTAGAATTTCTTATATATCACACATTTCAGCTTTCTGATTTTAAAATCTTCTGTCCATAATATTCTTAACCTTAAGTAGGCTACTCGCTCTTTCCTTCTTTTCTCAGCTTAAATATTCTAGAATTTCTTATATATCATACATTTCAGCTATCTGATTGTAAAATCTTCTGTCCATAATATTCTTAACCTTAAGTAGGCTACTGCTCTTTTCTTCTTTTTTCTCAACTTAAATATTCTAGAATTTCTTATATATCATACATTTCAGCTTTCTGATTGTAAAATCTTCTGTCCATAATATTCTTAACCTTAAGTAGGCTACTCGCTCTTTTCTTCTTTGCTCAGCTTAAATATTCTAGAATTTCTTATATATCATACATTTCAGCTTTCTGATTGTAAAATCTTCTGTCCATAATATTCTTAACCTTTAGTAGGCTACTCGCTCTTTTTTCTTCTTTGCTCAATTTCTTATATATTAAATATTCTAGAATTTCTTATATATCATACGCTCTTTTTCTTCTTTTCAGCTTAAATTTCTGATTGTAAAATCTTCTGTCCATAATATTCTTAACATTAAGTAGGCTACTCGCTCTTTTCTTCTATTCTCAGCTTAAATATTCTAGAATTTCTTATATATCATACATTTCAGCTTTCTGATTGTAAAATCTTCTGTCCATAATATTCTTAACCTTAAGTAGGCTACTGCTCGCTCTTTCCTTCTTTTCTCAGCTTGTAAAATATTCTAGAATTTCTTATTATATCATACATTTCAGCTTAAATATTCTAGAATTCTTATATAAAATCGTCTGTCCATAATATTCTTAACCTTAAGTAGGCTACTCGCTCTTTCCTTCTTTTCTCAGCTTAAATATTCTAGAATTTCTTATATATCATACATTTCAGCTTTCTGATTGTAAAATCGTCTGTCCATAATATTCTTAACCTTAAGTAGGCTACTCGCTCTTTCCTTCTTTTCTCAGCTTAAATATTCTAGAATTTCTTATATATCATACATTTCAGCTTTCTGATTGTAAAATCTTCTGTCCATAATATTCTTAACCTTAAGTAGGCTACTCGCTCTTTCCTTCTTTTCTCAGCTTAAATATTCTAGAATTTCTTATATATCATACATTTCAGCTTTCTGATTGTAAAATCTTCTGTCCATAATATTCTTAACCTTAAGTAGGCTACTCGCTCTTTCCTTCTTTTCTCAGCTTAAATATTCTAGAATTTCTTATATATCATACATTTCAGCTTTCTGATTGTAAAATCTTCTGTCCATAATATTCTTAACCTTAAGTAGGCTACTCGCTCTTTTCTTCTATTCTCAGCTTAAATATTCTAGAATTTCTTATATATCACACATTTCAGCTTTCTGATTGTAAAATCTTCTGTCCATAATATTCTTAACCTTAAGTAGGCTACTCGCTCTTTTCTTCTTTTCTCAGCTTAAATATTCTAGAATTTCTTATATATCATACATTTCAGCTTTCTGATTGTAAAATCTTCTGTCCATAATATTCTTAACCTTAAGTAGGCTACTCGCTCTTTCCTTCTTTTCTCAGCTTAAATATTCTAGAATTTCTTATATATCATACATTTCAGCTTTCTGATTGTAAAATCTTCTGTCCATAATATTCTTAACCTTAAGTAGGCTACTCGCTCTTTTCTTCTTTTCTCAGCTTATATCTTCTAGAATTTCTTAGAGATAATATATTTCAGCTTTTTGATTGTAACATGTTCTGTCCATGGTATTCTTAGCCTTTTTCAGTAAAACATTTCTGTTACATCAGATTGATATACCAAAACTAGTTTGACATAATACAAATGGCTTAACCTCAATTTAGCTCATTGGATATCTTTATCAAATTTTAACTTTTAAAATTCAAATACAGATTCATAAAATAAATATACGATGGTTTTATCCGTAAAAAATAACAAAACATGCATGAAACTTATAGACTTAAAGACCGGAAACGGAAGACGATGTGGGTGCGAATAAATTACAGAAGATAAAATCCTCGAATAAACTGGACATACAAAAGCATTTACAGTTGAGAATCTCTTTATTGATTCTGTCTCCTTTGCACTTGAACGTTTTCATTTGTTTTGACTTTCATGATGTTTCTCTACCTACAAGGACTTGTTTTGAATAACGAAATTTGTAATATCGTTAATCGATGTAGTTCGTTCTTTTTTCTGGTGAATCTCGAATCAGAGTTTTTTTTAAATCATTTTCTAGAATTTTAATTATTTGAGATACGTCTTCTAACTTGTGTCTTCAGAATATTTAACCAAATATTTTCAATTCAGTCAATGCTAAAACGGCATAACTATTTTTTAACTTACTGTCAAATCTATCTATCTATCTATCTATCTATCTATCTATCTATCTATCTATCTATCTATCTATCTATCTGTTTCTCTATATATATATCTGTATATATATATATATATATATATATATATATATATATATATATATATTTCAATCTATAAGTTTTTCAATATAGCTCTCTATCTGTACCCTTTTTAAACTTTTTTTAAGTCTATCTCTGTATCTATCTGTTTATCTATCTATTTATCTTTTTATGTATCTGATTTATAACCCATATATGTATTTATCTAATATTTCAGTCTATATATTTTAAATCTAACTATCTATACGTTTTTCAGTCTATTTTTATAGTGATCTATTAGTTTTTCTATATATCTCTATCTATCTGTTTTTCAATTTATCTCTATGCGTATCTAAGTTTTTCACGCTATGTAGTTATAAATGTTTTAAATCTACCTGTCACTTTTGTGGCAAGTTTTTTTTTTTATTCTGGTATTCGTTAATTATTTTCCTTTATCACTCAAGTCTTTCATTCGCGCATGCTCATATTTGTCGTTTCCCATGTTTTTTTTTGTTTTTTTTTATTTCTTCC